TCGAGTTTGGAAAAAACACTTGCCCCATTCAAATCGTTTGTGACTTCCTCGATGGTAGGTGTGGGATGGCGCTGGCGTTGGACAGCTTTGTTTGGTTGACGGAGGTCAACACAAAGACGGATTTCCTTGGGGTTGCTGGTTTTTGGGACTGCCACTACAGGTGAAACCCATGGTGTGGGGCCGTCAACCGCCTCAATGATGCCTTGCTGTTCCAAGCTCTCGATTTCTTGCTCTACTTGCTTTCGGATATGAAAAGGTATACGACGTGGCAGCTGGGCAACAGGCTTTACATCTGGGTCTATATATATTTGGAATTGGAAATCTTTGAGCTTGCCGATTCCATGGAAGATATCCTGGTATTCTTCCAATAACTGCGGTAGGGATTTTTGAGCACTGACTGTGTTGATGGAATGTGGGACTGAAATTAATCCCAAGGCGACTGAAGTGTCATGGCTAAGGATGGAGCCATGGAAGCCATCAACTACATAAAATGAACCATTGGTTTTGCTTGATAAGGTTTCAATAGTGGCTTGAAACTTTCCGAGTAGGGCAAGAGGTTCTGCTGCACCATAGGCATAAATTCGTGTCGACGTCTTTTGCAACTGAATATGATCATTCTGCGTAACTATTTGCTCATATGCTGCCTTGTCGAGGATGTTCACTGATGCTCCCGAATCGATCATCATCACAATTTCAACACCATTGATGACAACGGGAAGCTGAGGCCTGGAGATCACATTAGCATGTTCCCCGTCAGTATTGGTTGCATAAATATATCCCTCCTCATCATCAGATACGATGTCTTCAGAGATTGGTTCAGTTGTTCACCTGTGGACGCTGCGTGGCCTTGGGCGTTGGGTGTTGCGATTTTGGGGCCGACTGCGGCAGACTCGAGCAAAATGATTTTGCTTTCCACAGGAACGGCAGGATTTACCAAATGCTGGGCACGGCTTGGAGGGAACATGGGGCCATGTTTCACCACAATTCTCTACAATATCCTCTAGGCTGTTGTCGTGGTCATTACTTGTTAGCGGGCGATTTGCAGGTGTTGCTTGAATGGCACTGATCTCAGGAGTTGTAGGGCTGTTGGTACCAATACGAGCTGCTTGTTGTTTTGAGCATTCCAAAATACGACCTTGCTTAAGATGAAGGTCAAATCCGCTTTTTCTTCACGAAGAATCTTTTCTTTCAGTCTATTAGAGCTACAATTAGCCAGAATTTGATCGGCAATAACATCATCAATATTCTCAAACTCACACGTTTCAGCCAGGTTACGAAGTCGAGAAGCGAATTGATCAATAGACTCACCGTCTTGTTGACATGCTTGTTAAAATGGTATCGTTCATATCGAATATGTTTCTTCGGAGCAAAATATTCGTTGAGTTTTGCGGCAGCTGTATCGTAGTCGTCTCCCGTATCCGTCAATCCTTTAAACACTTTCTGAACAGTTGGCCCGCTGATATGCAAAAGAAGCGCTCGCTTTTGTTTCTTGTCTTCAACTTTAGCTGCAATTGTAAAAATCTCGAATTGTTCGAGCCATTCTTTCCACCGTGTTGCGATTGACGATGGCTCGGAATAAGCATCGAATTGTGGCAAGTTCGGCATTAAATTTAATTGAGCCATTATAATCCTCGTCGCCAATTATAGAGTTTGTCTTTTGCACAAGATAAATATACTTTATTCACGTAACTCGTGATACTTATTTCTACTACAACCAAGCGTGTGTTCTTCTACGTTTTTTGTACGTCCTCTGAGCCCGCGCTCTTGTCCTATATCTAACATCATATACGTTGTGCTATAACATGCAACAACACTACACCTGCTATAGCCAACTATTTGACTATAAAAACAGGTAATAACATGGAAAATCATAGCGCAAATCATTAAAGGATGAAGAAAGACCTAAATACAATTCTTGACCTATAATAAGGTGGAATAAAGGCTAACGAAGGCTAACAAATAAAGGCTTATACGTTGTATATAATAACACACTCGATCAGCATGTTGGCATATGACATCATGAAACATCAACTCACCTTATGAAATACCACAAATTTGCGCCGATATAGTGTATATTTTCTCACATCCTAAACGTCCATATCTTTATCGGTAATATATAAAGTTAATAACAAGATACAAATGCCATATCCGCCATAAAAAGCAATATTTCTTTAATATGCGTTAATAGCGTTATAGGTTGTTTCGTTAAGTATTCAAATTTCCCTCGTGGTCTACGCTCGAAAGGCATAATGGGATAAATGGAATAATCAGGCTCTGCGTCAGGCTGGACCATATAATTATCAGTATTAAACCTTTGAATGCTTTGAATTATCTCACGCTGGATTTCTGTAAATGAAAACAGCATTTTGCAAACATTATATTATGACTTTGTTCTATTTTAACAGTTCTTGACCGAATATGTCACGCCATGCTTGTAAAGTGCAAGTAAGAAAAGCTTCATTGTTGACTAAGGGCACTTTACTCATACTGATAATTAGCTAAATTGATAAAATCATCTAATGAGCAGAACGAACAACAATAAAATATGAACCATATAACTTTTTGAAATCAACAAACTTCGACCATAAGTAACATTTGAAACACAAGTAATTTTGAAGTTTACTCTCAGCTGAAATTCTTCAAATTTAATGCGAAGAGCATTTTCTTAGTTTAAGAATATATATTTCTTATAACAAGAAATTGATATCTCAATATTTTCTTAAGAAAACAATTTCTCATTTTAAGAAAAACATTTTCTTATGATAAGAAAGTGATATCTCTGATATTTTCTTGAGAAATAATTTTCTTATTTCAAGAAAATGTTTTCTCAAATTAAGAAGAAAAAAATCTTAAGAAAATATTTTCTCAAAATAAGAAAATTATTTCTTGAAACAAGTAAATATTTTCTTAAAACAAGAAAATTAAATTTCTTAAGAAATTCATTTTTTGCTGTGAACTTACTGATTTCAAAATTTCAATCTGGCTTTAGACCAAAACACTCAACATTAACTCTACTTCTTCAAATGTGTGATAAATGGTTGGAAAATATGGACGAGGGTAAAATTACTGGTATAGTTTCCTTAGATATTCGAAAAGCTTTTGACTCAATTGATCATGAAATTCTACTGATAAAAATGAAAAACCAGTTTGGAATAAAACACTCCGAACTTGCTTGGTTTGCTTCCTATTTGACTAATCGAGAGCAGGTGTGTTATGTGAATGGCTACATATCGACTCGCAAAGAAATAATAAGTGGAGTTCCCCAAGGTTCCATTCTGGGTCCCCTGTTGTTTCTGCTGTATATCAATGACTTACCAGAGTACCTAAAATCTACTACCCCTGGAATATATGCAGACGACACTCAAATCTTTGCGTCGTCGGATAACTTTGATGAATTAGTAGATATGTTGAATTCTGATTTAAAAATATCAGTAAATGGCTTAGTGATAATAAATTGCAACATCATACTACCAAAACTAAACTTTTGTTTGTAGGCTCTTCGTATACCATTCAAAATAACTAGGAAATAAGCCAGTGATCTTTGGAAACGTACCAGTAACCCGTTATAGATCTTTTAAATGTTTGGGCGTCGAGATTGATGAACAACTTAATTGGGAAGCCCATATAAATGCAATAAGCAGAAAGGTAGGCGCGGGAATAGGTGTAATGAGACGAGTTAAACCCTTTGTTCCTGAAGAAACCATGCACACCATTTACAAAGCTTTAATTCAACCATACTTTGACTATTGTTCCCCTCTTTGGGACAATTGCGGTCTATTATTGAAAGAAAAGTTGCAAAAATTTCAAAATAGGGCTGCTCGGGTGTTAACGGGGGCAGACTACAATACAAGCTCCTCTGAACTCCTGGAGCAGCTTAGATGGAAAAATCTCGAAACTAAATATAAAACTAACAAAGCAGTTCTCGTTTATAATATCCTAAATAACGGTACTGCTCCGTGCCTTCGCGAATCCTTTTCTGAGCGTAGTGTGATTGAAAATGGTTATAACCTGAGACATTACGATACTGATCTATCAATCCCGAGACCTAAGAAAGAGTTTCTCAAAAGAAGTTTTAAATATAGAGGAGCTGTATTATGGAATAGTCTTTCGCGTGAAGCTAAGTCTGCTCAATCGATTCATTGCTTCAAGAGGCTCATAAATTCAAGTAGTTAATTCTGCATATTATATATAGTTTATATTTGTATAGTGTAATTAAGTAGACGCTCATAATGTAATTAAGTAGACGCCCTCCGTGGAAATCAGTCGTAACTGACGGGGCTAGTGTCTGTAAATAAAATTTTTAATAATAATAATTTTTAATAATAATACATATTCACAAATTATATATGTTTAACTGAGACTTTAAGTTATCTTTATATATCTGTTTATAATAAACTCATTATTTGCAATCGAGTTAAGGAACAAGTTGATAGTATGTTTACCTATAGTTCAGTTGAATTCGAGCGTTTAGTTCATAGATATTAGACAGCTAAGATTTATATCAGTATGATAACATACTATGATGAACATGATAGGAAATTTTCCCATGTCTCCTAATCAACTTGCCTTTTTCCCAACTTCCCACCCTGTGCCCGCGGATGTTCTCAGTACGCGCCGCCCCCCCCCCCCAGATCCAAAATGAACAACTGCCTGATACAATTTTAAAGCCGCTTCAAATATTTTTACCAAAATTTGGTATAATATGGGTTTTGAATACTCGATTACACACTTGCTGAGTATTGGTGTTGACTCTGATTGATCAATTGCGCTTAAACAAACTTCAACTTAGAGCGCCTGCTGGCAAGAGAAATTCTGTGCAATGTTCATAGTTGATATCTTACATACGGTTAATTTGATTGTTGAATTATTATTTAAAATCTGAAATAGGGGGGCATGTGATGCCACGGGGTAGTTACCCCTCCTCCCCCTCTCGACGCTAACTCTAGTCTATCCTTTTCCAAATTCTAGGAAGCTAATCCATGTGCATTTTATATCTATAGAGATTTAAATTTAAAGAAGGGAGATTTGATAGTACTGTTGCAAAGAATTGATGAGAACTGGTATATCGGTGAACTCTCTGGACAACAAGGATACCTCCCAGCTAATTTTGTAGAGGTAAAATAGATGAAATTCGGCAATTTGATTTGAAAATATTTTGCACAGGATTGAGGGGATAATACGCATGCAATTACATATATGCACATTCAGGCTCATACATCGAGTCAACTCACACTTTAATCTGCGTGGTATATAATTTTCTGAATCGTCTAAACTGTAAACCAATTAGATAGTTTTTGTTTTAAGGAGCATACTTGAACTAGAGAAATGCTCATAGGCTTTCAGGCTCATATGCGTCAACATATATACCATTGATAATGTTTAGGTCATAAATCCATTGCCAAAGTTTGAAGAAACAAAACGAGCACTTGCAAAAGGCCTTTATGACTTTGAGGATGGTGATGAAGAAGAATTGCTTCATTTTAAACAGGTTGGATATTCCATTATTTTTCTACAATATGAGGTGTTTGAGCATTACCCAGGAATATCAGAGGCGTGGGTTCAAATCCTCCCGGAAAACCCGAGCTACAGGTTCCTGGTTTAATGCTAATATAGTATTTTCTACTTTTGTTAAAATTCTTCGTTGCACTGTACGTTCTCCGAGACTACCGTCAATAAGTTATTCTATGATAGAATAATATGAAATGAATGTGTGTGCAAGAATGCATGCATGGTAATCCCTAAAATATTCTTTAATAGGGTGATATTATAAAAGTTCTACAAAGAGTGGACGCTAATTGGTGTGAGGGTGAAATTGGCAATCGTTATGGCATATTCCCGGTTAATTTTGTTGAGGTAAGAAGATCACTTTATAATGTATCGTTCCTGTATAGGTCTACCATTCTAGAGGTTGGTTAGCTAGCGCTACAAATGGCTTAAAAAGCCAAAAAAATTACCATAAATTAATGAAGCTGACAAACAAAAACCCAACCTTAACAATTCTTTAGTTCAATCAACCTGGATCCTACGAATCTATACAAAAATTTCAGAACGACTAAAAAACCTATCCGTCCTTTGCAAATAAATGCTAATTCTCAGATGTTCTGGCTGCAACATATTTTATAGTTACAGGATGTTGGACATCTTATGTTATAATTAAAAGATGTTCTGCTGCTTAATAGTTGAAAGATGGTCGCATCTTATAGTGTAATTAAAGATCTTAGGTATCTCATTGTTCTATTGTAGTTTAGAGATTTTCTTCATTTTTTCTTCATATTCTTGTTGAAAGATGTTAGGCATCTTATATTATAGTTGAATGATGTTAGGCACCTTATCACCTTATATTGTAGTTGAAAGATGTTATGCACCTTATAGTTCTATTAATAGGTTAGAGATGTAAGTTCTGTATCTTATATCATATTATATATTTAGAAGATGTTCAGCATCTTTTATAGTTTAGAGATGTTCTGTATCTTATATTACAGTTAAACCGTTCAGCATCGTCTATGGCCTGGACACATGAGAATGGAGAACCTGAATCAAGACGTCAACCAAGCATTCCTCAGAAGACATCAGAAATACGTCAACCTCGACAGAAAGCTCAACTGCATAAACCCGTGAAGAGGTCTCGATCAATTCCTCGCGATAACCAAGAAAATGTTCGCAGACGAGCTCGCGATTTCGGCGAAAGTAGTTCCGCTACAGGTAAAGCAGGTCGCAGCCAAATCAATCGACATTCGTTTGATGCTCTCTCAGTCGAACATCCCCAAGATTTCGTTTCACGGGGTGAATCATCCGATGCGTCACAAGTGGCAGCAGTTTATTTAGCAGATTATCGTCGTCCAAATACTCGAACAACCGAATCTAGAGAAATGCAGGTAACGTGATGCTGCAGGGGCAATTATCTTTTTTTGAATATTGTCGTGAACGAGCGAGAGTGTGTTCTAGTATTAAGTATTGTGGACGAATCCGGCAAGCGCGAGCCTACTGATATCAAAGACCACTGTACATATAACACGTTTACTCATATTTTTTCATCGTCTAGGCATGTAAGCTTCAAGTTTTGTAAGACAGTATTTAACGAAGCTTTTTCGCTGTAACTGTAGTGTTAAATTCTGTCATCTTGGCTAAACGCTAATGCATTCGTTTAACTAAACTATCACGATGATTCTTATAGGATGAAAGACCTGGATGCACATCCACCACAAATAATCGATCCAGCCCGACAGGGTTCCAGACAAGGGATGCGCAGACATCCGAATTGTAAGTAATAGTGTTCAGGCTGGCGAGTAATATCGCATGTTGGGAGACTTGATTAAATGCGCTCCTATTTTATTCTGTAGGTACATAGCATTGTACAATTACAGACCACAAAAAAGCGACGAGCTTGAGTTATGTTCCGGGGAACATTATAAAGTTCTAGAAAAAGGAGGAGATGGTTGGTTTAAAGGCTTTCCCGTATCAGGAGGAAGACCGATTGGTCATTTCCCTGGGAATTACGTTCGCCCATTATTGTATGTAATTCGTTATTCATTAACCCCACCCCAACAGTGGCGTACGGGAGACGATAATTGGGGGGGGGGCACATATTAATATATTCATGTTAACAGACCTGTAAAAAAAATGGATTTGAAAAGAAATTAATTTTTCACAACATGAATATATGAATATGTGCCCCCCCCCCTCATTTATCGTTTCCCGTAGGCCAGTGCCCCCGTAAACCTAGATAAATTAGAAGATGCCGCGTCCAATGTTTTCCCATTTTTCTTGAAAAACCAGGCGGGATGTTAAGGGGACAGCAGTGGATTTCTAACTCCCTGACCGAGTACTTAATTATAATTTACCTGGCCAAGTGAAGGGTTATCCGTTGAAACTCTATATATATGATTTTGGACCAACATGCATATATTGTAGTAATACCTATATGGTACAATATCTTTCATTACCCGCGAGGAAAACAATTTGTTTCCGTGATGAAAACAAGATTTAAAACAGGATGTGTTGTGCGGAACCGAACTCCAAATATAGCCTGCATAGGCAATGTTGTCAAAACATTAATTTCAATCTTCAGGTCTTCCAGTTCAAATCAAGAAAATACCACAGACAATGCAATGTCATCATTAATTCAGCGACGTCGACATAAGAATAATTCCCAATCTTCACTACAACCTGCGGCTGCTCTGTTGGTAGTGCCCAGGCCTCGACCCTTTTCTGATATCAGTAATGATTCCAACCAAGAATTGTCAATAACGCCACCTTTGACACCTCCGCTTGTCGGAGCTAAACCACCTGTAAGTTGAATGACGTATGATGGCTATGATGCAGTGAACTGCTATGATCACTGCAGAAAGTGTAGTATATTTTAGAGCAGCGTCATTTAATTTCCCCCACCCAAAACGTTCTGTGGTCTGGCGTGTCTCAGACATATTCAGTCACTCAGGCCATTGTATAAAAAGCTACTATTTACAACGAGGCAAAGGGGGGTGTACTAGTACTGCAAGTCTATAGAACTCCTACAGGTGTACAATGCAGGCTATATTCTTAGGCCTTTGCAGAAGCATAGAGTTTTTTATAAAGAGTTTGAATGAATAATGACAAAAATGTGGTATGATATTTTTGTAGAAACAATCACTATTCCGGAGGTTGAGTATTGGAAAAAAGAAAGATCGCAGTAGTCCGCAAACAGTCCAGAGGTAAATTGCCGGGTTACTAACCTAAATATGCAATAGCCGAAAATATGACATTTCCCCAATTTCGTAATGTCCATTTCGTTTATTGCAGTGAAAGAGTTAACCAACAAACTGAAGCGACTGTTCCAGCAAGTTCTTCATCATCGAGAGTTTCACAGTCGTCCAGAACCCGAGTATGTTGAGAAGCGTATTCTTTATTTCAAATTAAAGGTTTGTACAGTTGCTTTTTGATTAAACTGTTTGAATAATCAATTTTAGATTGACTCAAGACAAGCTTCACGGAACTGCCCAAGTGGAAACAAAGAAAAGTGAGTTTTCTTCGTTCTTTTTTGTGTTCATTGTATGAACATTCTGTAACATCCTTTCTTTATTCATTATGTGAACATTCTGTAACATCCATTCCTTTTCGATAACGACATTAACGTCAATATTAACGTCTGGTATATATTAAAATGTCCGCCTGGTGAAATTAAAGAAATATTATAGCTACTTGCCATAGCGTTTTACTCCGTCTGAACGCGTATATTTTATCAGTTTTCTCTTCAACCGTTACTATATAACCCCTTTTTTATACACAAAATTGCAGGTATGTGGTTATAGCCAATTACCCGCCAAACAGTGCCATGGAACTTGAGATACGTTACGGCGATATCGTCTTCGTTACAAGAAAGACAGAAAATGGTTGGTTCCATGGAACGTTGGAAAGAAATGGAAAAGTTGGCTTTGTTCCAAGTAGTTTTCTTCAGAAAATTTAATGGATTTTTAAATCACAAGGTACCCTGACTTGTATATATAGTTATAGACTATTTCTAGGACAAATCGCCCGGAACGTAAGGTGATATTATAGATTTTCACGGTAAAGCACGGTTTTAAAGGTTTTCTGAGACAATTGTAGATGTTTTAAGATATAAAATCTAAGGATAAATTTTACAGTACATTTTTTTATTCAACAGGCAAAGGACTCGTGCAAGAAAAATTAACTCCAATCACAGATAACACTGTCCAAAACGTTCAATAAATATTTTCTCCAAATGTAAATTTGTATAAGATATTAATATTAATAATTTTAAAAATATATAAAATATACATATATTTTCCTGTAAATGAACATTTATATTATTACTAGGTAATATTTTTTATGACAGGTTAATTTGGCCAAATGTAAATCTTTGTATATGCATGTCAGTGGTGGTCAAGTAAACCTAATAATTTTTACCATACAGGAGCGCGACTGTGCAAATAAATATGGCTAACGTAGACTGTAGAGGCTAGAATTCCTATGTAAATAAAAACACTTTCAATTGTCTTTGTTTATCATTGTCCGTGACTCCGTGGTTCTGTTGTTTAACTGACCTCCTATTAGTCCTATAAGCTGGCATCTATTTGGGTAGTTAATTAATATGGCACTGGTTAACCTGTGTCACGCCAACAAACACTAATATTTATACACATAGTATGAAACGGAAGCCTATATATAATGATGGAAGACTAGAAGTACAAGTAATGTCAATATACCCTCCAGAATCCAGACAATGTTGTTCCTGTGTATGAAGATATGGCAGACACGGTGCAAATTGCGGCACAATAAAGTGAATAAACTTAATATTCACGTTGATATTGTTATTATATAAGCGTAATACATAGTACAATAGCAGTCTCGTCCCTGGCGCGTGTTTTTCCAGTTTTATATCAATTGCGTAATATTACGCAATTAATATTAAAACAAAACAGAAAAATGCGTCGGGACGAGGCTGGTTTTATAGTACTTCTAATTGGGTAGCTCACAGAGTTTAAAGCCCCTTACAGACGGGCAAGTTTTTCTTGCCAAGTTTTATTTACTCGTGTGTACGCGAAAAAATTGACAAGTTTTCCTTGACAAAGAGCCTTGTTCAAAAGCTAGTCATAAGTGCCAGTTTTTCAAGTAGGAAACTGCGCAACAATATCTTCCAGCCAATTGAGCGTATACTTATTTTGTCATATGGTCGTAAATATATACTCGACATATATATTATCGTAAAACTTATCAAGAAAAACTTGTTCTCCATAAACACGAGCATGTGAATTGGTCAAGAAAACTTGTCAAGGAAAACTTGCCCGTCTGTACGGGGCTTAAATCATTGCCTTTTTTTGTACACCCTGTATGGTCTGCAACCTTGGTTTGCGCGCTAATTTTCCAACAATGCCTCGTTATCTATTGTCGTTCAGCACATGTATGAGAGCATGATGTTGAAAACAGGCCTTACTGTTAAGTGTCATCGATGCATCAAGTGCATTGTCCGTTGGAATGTTCTTTGAGGTAATAAAAGGTGGTTGAATTCGGGAAGAAATTGAGACTTGATACTTGCGAAGAATAAAGGATCACTCGAAGGAGTTTAGGGAAAAGTTGGAAAATCTTGCTCAGGTACGTGGTCATAGTTGGTTTAAACTTCAAGAATCTGTTGGCTTGATCTTTGGCTTTGCAAATTTCATTGTCGTGTCATTTTGAATAACTAGAATACATTAGTGAGTAGAGGCATATTCTTGCTGATTTTCACCGCTATATCTTGTATATTTCGATTCAAAATGTGAAATGCAAGTGAGCTGTTAACTTCATTTTGTTTTTCCTTCCTTATTTCATTTCAGAACTGACTACGGCGGCGCAAAAAGATGGGGACAGCGAAACACAAACGCTTGCTTGCGACGAATAATAGGTATTGTTATATTAATATACAGGGTGTCCCAAAAAAAAGCAACCACTTAAATATGCAGAACATCAATACAGCTCTAAAGCTCAATAGATAAGCACCTCTGGGAATTGAAAATAGCTCTTAATCCTTCATTTACAATGCTAAAAGTCATTTTAGCTGAACTATGGTGCAAATCCGAACAATATTAATATTCTTGCATATTTAAGTGGTTGCGTTTTTTTTGGGACACCCTGTATATGTATGTATTTTGCATTTGTGACTTGCGATAACGCGTTGTATACACGGTGGGCAAAACTAATATGTAGTTTAATTAAAGTTTTCCGGACTTCATCCTAACTGATTCTTCGCAAGAAATGGTTGAAACGTTCTCGTCTGGCACCAGTCGCATCGTGAATAGCAAAAGATGAAATTGAATGCATATAATTATATGCTAGTTCGATGCTTTGAGCGTGTTTTCTACTTCCAAAGTATCTTATCGTGCTGTAGTGCTTATTTTGCCTCCCATGACAAGTTTTATCAAAAAACAAACTATGTTTTACCCAGGTTTTCTTTTTTAGAGAGAAAGCATCGTCGGAGTGGAGAGATGTCGGAGCTGCCTTGGGACATTTATGCACGCAAATACAAAACTTGATTTCGTTGAAAATATGCATGAGTAAAATATGCATGGAATTTGTCTTTTTTGACTGAGATATGCTGAACACTCTTCTGTTTACCTCCTTCATTTTCAATTTTTCTGATTGCGGTTTTTGCATGAATTAACCTGGTCGTGTCAAGCGCATGCGGAGGAAACACAAGTGATTCTGGGGCCCCATCACTTGTATTCTCTCCATCTTGAACGACAATAGTCCGGACAAAAAATATCGCTTATGCAGAGCGCCTAAAACATAAAAATGCATGAGAAATTGTATTTCTAGAAAGAGATAATAGTCGAGTGTTTTAGTTTTCTCGTGACCATGAAAAAAACGATGATTATTTCCCACAAAATGTGCATGATATTATGTATTCGCGTGCGTAATGCGAAGGCCTTGGACGAGTGGCGTGGGAGATTTTGGGAGGTCAATAATCGGGTTTTGAATGCTTATCTTGAATGCTTTATACATAGGTGACATTTCTCTTGGAAATTAATATCATATTTCTGTATCTACGTTAAGGGATCAGATGATGAGGGATCGCCGCAGGAATATCGATGATGAGGATCGTCGCAGGATCAGATTATGAAGGATCGTCGCGAGATTAGATGATGAATGATCGTCGCTGGATCAGATGATGAATGATCGTTGCAGGATCAGATGACAGAGAATCGTCGCAGGATCAGATGATGGACGACGAGACCGGGTGTACAAGTGGAGGCTGGTTAAGGTACATCAGTTATAGGTATACTAATTAGAGCAATGCATGCTTAATGTAAGTGCATGCTTTATTCTCGGATTGATTCCTCCTGGTGGTCTAAACTTATATATTCACACATCAAGTGACACGTTTTCGACAATGCATGATAACAGGAATTTTCTCACAGCTCTTATATGAGGGCGTTTTCGAGGTTTTTCGATGAAACATTCCTAGTTTTGTCACTTGCGTGTGAACGACTTAACAGCTGCGGAAGATGCATGATGGCTTTAAAGCGTTAAAATGAAAGTAAGAATGTAATTAGCATGCATGGCCGACGCGCACGCAGCGAAAAAATATTATCGAATTCGTATTGGCCTAATTTTAGATTAATACGAATTAACTGAAGGTAATCCAGAGTTCTTATATGATTATATAAGTTCTCTGTTCATGCGACCGTTTTTGTCCGAAGGACTGTCCGTCAGTGGCATTAAAAATTATCTTTCGTCTTTGAACATTTAAATTCGAATTATTGAAATTTGAAATGAAGAAAAAATGACTATTTAATGTTTTGACACTAGCACTCTTCTGTTTCCCCTTGTTGGTATTAATTTTTCGGATTTCAATTTGCTGGTTAATCTCAAGCATGAAGGAAATAAACGTAATCTAATAATTTTAACAAACTTCACGAAGTTTCCATATAAAGGAAGATAATACCTCCTATATTACATGATATATTTCATTGCATGATAACTGCATTTATATAATTAGGGATATCTGGAGTATAGTGTTGGGGACATAGTACCCTCTTGTCTTAAAAGTGAACCCGTAACAAAAGAGCTTTGCATTTTGACACACTTACTATGTTGTTTAATTCCTTGCACGCCCCACCGTTGAGATGTTGTTAAAGAAGAACGCAACTGTTTGGAATGGAGCAAGGAAGCAAGCGAAATTCGGTTCACTGTCACTGAAGGTAATTATATGGTGCGAAAAGGTAAGAGCATTATTGATTATCCATATTGAGTGAGTTGCATGTTGAGCCCGATTACGTTTATTTCCTCCATTTTCGGTCAACCGTATAATCCCGAACGTATAAAACTGAAGAGATAAACAGGGTGCATGTCGTGGGATAGTAGGGATACTACTCATAGTAGAAGAGTGTTTTTGTTTAAAGCATTTCATTCCAATTAAAATGCCAGATTTCCAAAAAAAAGCATGATCATAAATAAGTTTTTTGACTAATTGAAATAATTTTGGTGCCCTTGTCGGACAAAGCGCAGTTGATTAAAATTTTTAGCAGCCTAATGTTTTGTAAAGGACGATATGCGCGCTTCGCACGTTTAGACCACCACCAGGAATCAATTGACGAAGCTCAGGAATTACATCGCGTTATGCAATTCCTGGGACTCAGTTCGGATAAGCTGACCTAAAACGTAATAAAACCTGAACTGTCATTCCGAACGATTTCTAAATGAAAATACCAAATTCGGACCGCCGGTCAGGTAACCTGAAATTCAGGTTACCTTTGGAGGGTTTTTCTCCGGGCACTCCGGTTTCCCTCCTTTTCGTTTGAAAAGTTAAACAGTGTCTATGTCTAGGGCCAAACGGATGTTCTTTGATAGTAAAAAAATTCTTGCACATTTTACAAAATCGAGAAATCCTATTTGTCACATGAACTGTTTAAGCATGCGAGTGTTTGGCTTCTGGGTTGGATTCCCAGAACACTGACAGTGCAACACTCGCTAATTAGACCGGTCCTTGAATACGCGCATGTCAAGTATGGCATTTTAACATATTCTGAATATTTATGTGAAGAAGATTGAAGTGTCACGAAAACGTGCGTTGAGAATAATCGCACCGTCATTGAGTTATAGCGATGCATATTTTAGAATATATGGTATGTCATTTTTAAAAGAACGACTTGAGTAGCCGTTTGTGACAACTTTTTTAAGAAAAACAATACCAATTTTTAAACTACAAGATATTTTACCACATAAATTTGTCTACTAGTTATGAAGTATGAATTAATTACCACTTTCCTCTGGTAA